ATAAGTAAAATAGCTGGTACCGGGGGTAATACTGAAACTATTTACCTGTATAGTACAGGAACCAACCAATCAGAACCAATGCCAGCCATAAAGTACTTATGCCAGCCACACTGTAGTGTCTTAACTGAATATCCACCCTGCTTGGAACTACAGCTGACAATATTGCTCAGTATAGAAATTTACCTTCAAGATACAGCTCAAGGTAATTAAATCATTTAATTGTCATTTATTAAACAACTTTTATGGGCTAGGCATTGAGCATAAAAAGGGGCCCATCCCAGATACCATGCACTCTGCTACCCCTGAATTTTTGCCCTTTTCCATCTGCCTAGTAGATGATGTGAGTGCAAAAGCATTAAACCATAAATCAGAAGACCTGGATTTTTTTTTTAAAAAAATTGTTTTACTACTTCATGCAGTGAGAGAAAGCACAAACCATGAAGAACTGAGGTGTTGTCAGTAAGAGAGTGCTAGAAAGGACTTGTTATAAAATTTGGGTTTTGTTAAGAAATTTTGAAAGGATTTAAAGAAATGAGATTTTGCTCTGGATTGGGTGCTGTCAGGAATTAGGGCAATTCTATAATTGGGTATCTAATCCATTTTATCTAGAAGCAGAGAAGACTACCCAGAGGCTAAGGCTCTAATAAGCAAAGAAGTAGCAGTCATTCATATTCTCTGGAGGAGGGGCTACTGGGGACTTTTTTGGCTAGGAGAATGTTCATGTTTTGACTGCGTTCAGACCTGATTGTGGAGTGGTTTTTAAGGAGACCTGGACTTTTAATCCCATTTCAATCTTTGCCTTGGCTTAAGTGACTCTAGCTTACAGAGCCTCAGTTTTCAGACTGCAAAATAAAAACAATCTTGCCTTCCCTGCCCAATTCACAGTGGGTTTTGAAATCAAATGAATATGGATATAAAACTGCTTTATTAACTGTGAGCAAATATTATCACTACTTTTTGCATCACTCTGCCTACTGACCCACTCAAGGCAGAGCTCACATCCAAGTTATCCATGCACAATAATATAATAATCCTTTGTTTTTATATTGGCTTTTATATTGGTTTTTATATTATTTTATATAGTTTTCTTTGGTTGCTCTGGATAGAAGTGGTTTCCTCTTTCCTTGAATTTGTAGACTGTTTAATTCATATCCTATGAAGCATGTGTTGCACCATGAAGTTCTAGATATTTAGAAATTCTAGATATCTAGAATTGGTATTTTTTCCCATGTAATAAAACATTACCTTGTTGACATTTTATTTTATTCTCTCTCTTCTTCTTTTGGTTGTATCACATGGCTTGTGTGATCTTAGTTCCCCCACAAGGGACTGAACCCAGGCCCTCGGCACTGAAAGCATGGAGTCCTAACCACTAGACTACTAGGAGATTCCCTAGTGTTGATATTTTATACTGTGAATTTTCACATTGTTATTCCTCCCTACCCAGAGTTTAAGTTTCTTAAGGAGTGTCTTTCATAAAGAGTAGATACATAACAAATGTGTATAGATGTATTGCTTGCTGAAATTCTACCATTTATAGTAGGTTGAAAAACATGGCCATAAAATTTTGCAGCTCCTCCCATCAAGAACTGAAGTCCTAAAGAATAAAAAAAAAGAATTGAAGTCTTTTCCCCCACACCTTGAATCTGGGCAGCCCTGACAACTTGCTATGACCTAGAATGAGGTAGGAATGAAGTTATACCAGTGCTTCAGCCTAGGCCTAAAAATGTCTTGCATCTTCTCCTCTCACCCTCTTGGACCGTCGCCCTAAATTCCACCTGCTATAAGGAACCGAGCTGAACTAGTATATACTATTGCCAGACATGTGAAGAGTCATCTTGGACCATTCAGTTCTTTTCATGAATGAGCCCAGGTGAGACCAGTGAAAGAACTGTTCAGCACATATCATTTTGTTTGGGTGCCACTTATTATGCAGCAAGAGATAATGGAAGACCAGAAGAGGGATTCCTCACCTTCACACTGATAGGAATTTTTCCTACTTCTTTTAGGGCCCTTCTCAAAAATTACCTTGCTTTCTGGATATGTCTCTTCTGACCACTGCCAGGTTGTAATGTCACTCAGGGTGAGACAATTTACTGATCTTAGATTTCTTCTAAAGTACTACGCCTGGAACTGTATGTAGTCGGTAATGAGCCCATTTGCCAAGTATGTAGCAGTTCCTTCCAAGGAAGTCTTGGAAATCAGGTCCCAAAGGAATTTATTACAAGGCACTTTCAAATGAGAGCACTTAGAGAGCCACTGTACTTCCCTTAACCCTCTCTCACACCCATATGGGTAGAGGCTAGTCTAGCATTAAAAGAGATCTGTAACATGAAACATACAAGGATTATTGCATCATACCTCTCCTTCAGTGACTCACATTATCAGTCAGAAAGAAAATTCTTCTTAGTGGTTAACACTCACCTCTTCATTTACTTCTCTAGCACATATTTCTATATTTAACCTATGACGAAAACATCACCAAGAGGCCAAACTACTAAAGAAAAAAAAAGCCATTCTACTCAACCATCCTCTAGGATCCTTGGTACTGTATCCAATTCTCCAACTCTCCCACATTTTTATAAAACTAGATGAAACGAACATCAAATATGGCTTTGGTGAGGGTGAGAAGAGTCACAAAAGAACAGGCTGTGGAATGATGTGTAACCAAGGTGCAAGTAATGAACCCTACTACACTCTAGAGCAAACACTTGAGCATCTGTATGCCCAGAAACAACAGAAAGAACAGCAGACTCGCCTGTTCCCCTGGGGAGCTACAACCCCCCTCTCCATTTTGTATTCAGAGGTTCCTTAGTTCTGAATTGTCTGTGGGCCCTACCTGGCCTGGGAAAGCTGTGTCTAACAATCAGAATTCAGGTGAAGTCTCCAGCTCTTTTAGCAGCTACAAGTGCTAGAAAAGCAGCAGTTCCTTTTATGATTAAGTATCTGGGGCAGGCTTCCCTTTCCTCAATGTTAGGCTCAACAGAGAGGCTTCTAGCTAAACCAGTCATCGTCCTCAGAGTTGAGTTTTTCAACTTTTTGTTGCTTCATCCATTTAAGACAGTCACACTTTGGGTTATGAAATGGGGGAAACTGAAGTGTGGTTCATGTGTTGTAAAATGTTGTAATTCATGTGTTGTAACAATCATATGAGGTTGCAGAAGAAAGCTGGTCCCCAAAGGTTGGGTTTAGAGGTTACTGAGAGACCCTTACGGTTCTGCTTTGGTTTCTTGGAAAGGATAAGGTAAAACCCTCACCTGAGGGTTTCTTCAGGGAAAGGAAGCCATTGAGAATTATTCTCAGTCGAGGAGCCCCTACGGTTAACAGACCTGCTAAAATGTTCCTATTCAAAACAGTCAGGTATTTCCCAAGAGTATGAGCTGAACCAACTTCCTTTGGTCTCTGGGTACTCCCTTCTATGACGATGAGGTCTTTCCATTCCCGCACTTGGTTAGCTAAAGGAAATGAGTTACACTGTGAAACAAAGATCTCTTTAAGGTGACTCACTTTTACTCTATCATCCACCATCAATCCCAGAGTAACAGCCTACTCACCCTGCATTCATATGATTAAGGAAATCCTTCTAAATAATTGCATAATAACTTTGTCCATCTGTACGTGCTCTACCCACAACAGAAAGAACCTTGAATCCTCAACAAAGTTGAAACAAAAAGTTCCTTTAAGCCACAGGAAGGAACTCTACACATTTCATTTCTGTCTGGATACCCAGACAGAAATGGATGACCTTGATAGATTTGAAAAGTAGTCTTATTTGCTATGCAAGTAGAGGTTGGATGGCTATGGATGAACAGGAGAATGGCTAGGTGGATTGGCTGTATGTTTAAACACAGGAGCTGCTTAAGATCTTTTCCTATGCTTGTTAGAATAAACTCTGTTAGCAGTCTCGTGGCTGGTGGTGAAGTTGAGACAAGTCTAAAGACTGTCTCTACGCCAAACACGAACAAAAATATCCTTGGACTTGATTGGTAACTCAGTCAAAACACTCTTATCACGCATATATGTTTACAACTGGGGGCCAGAAAACCGAGTAAAACGATGACACACCCCTGTAGTGACAGAAACAGATTCATGTAAAGAAAATTTCATAATTTAACCGGAGACGCTAGGAGGGTGGATTCTGCAAGGCAGCTTTCTGGAGAAGCCGGTCTTGTGTCCTGTTCGAGGTGACTTCAGCGAGGAAGACTAGGGTAAACATCTTACCGTTTTAATCCATTTCTTCCTGGCATATCTTCACTCTGACTTTTCAGAGGTATTCCTTTGAGTACAGCGGCTGTTGCCTATCCTTTCTACTCTCGGCGCTCACAACAGCGCTCATTTCCTCAAGCGTTTACTGCCGCTCTTCGAGCCACGCCCCCAGGTTCTGGGGCTGAGTTCGGGCCAATAAAGTTGCGCCCCAAGATCGCAGGCCCAGGAAGGGAAGCCTCCAGCCAATGAGAGGCCAATCATGACCGCAAAGAGTAGAAAAGTCTTTTAGTGGTGTCTTCGGACCAATGAAGAGCAATGATCTTGCGCCGGCTCTGGGGGTACCGACAGATCACAGGCGGTTTCCTGAAACACGTGACCAGTGAGCTGAAGCAGCCCTGCCCCACCTCCTGGTCTGGAGGTAGCGCGATGGGCCACGCTTCCAATGGTTCGAAGAACTTCTCGTCACGTGCAGTTTTTGCAGGCCCAGCGGCGTCCTGAAAGTCATGTGACAGTTGACGTTGGCGCCAAGCTTCCCAATGGAAAACAAGAGCTGCCTTCACAGGACCAGAAATCGCTGTGTCTCCGCCAATAACAGCACGGCGGGGCGGGGATAGCCTATCACGTGCTGCGGGGCGGAACGGGGCGGGGCAGGCCACTGGTTGCGGAGCGAGCTGGGCGCGCGGCGCGCAGGCGCCCTGGGGACCCGGTAGCGGCGGCGGCGGCGGTGGCTGCGGTGACGGCGGAGGCGAAAAGAGCCGTATCTTTGGCCGAAGCGGGAGGCGGCGGTGGCGGCCATGGCGGCAGATGGAGAGCGGTCCCCCCTGCTCTCCGAGCCCATCGACGGTGGCGCCGGTGGAAACGGATTAGTGGGGCCGGGCGGGAGTGGGGCTGGGCCCGGGGGAGGCCTGACCCCCTCCGCACCACCGTACGGAGCCGGTAAACATGCCCCGCCCCAGGGTAAGCCGGGGCGGGGTCCGAGGTGTTCCCAGGGGTACTCTGACAGGCGGAGGGGGCGGGGCCGAGGGCGGAGGCGGGGCCCAAGCGCCAGGTGCGGGGCTGTTGCACCTGTGACTGGGTGAGGCTTCCTTCTCTCTGCTATCGCGACCGCAGCTTGGGAGCAGAAGGGAGCTCTGAAGAGTCTGATGGAAGCACTGATCATAACAATCACGCTGAGCTTGTCAGAAGGGTTGAGGACCAGAAACAGTTGCCTTACGCCGTGTAGCATCAGTGGGGGTGTCTGCAAGTAATGCCAGCCCTTCTTTTTACCTTCCTGTCCAGCATTTCCCCCGTTCCCCGAGGGACACCCAGCCGTGTTGCCTGGGGAAGACCCACCCCCCTATTCACCCTTGACCAGCCCGGACAGTGGGAGTGCTCCCATGATCACCTGCCGAGTCTGCCAGTCTCTCATCAACGTGGAAGGCAAGATGCATCAGCATGTAGTCAAATGTGGCGTCTGCAATGAAGCCACTGTGAGTTACACAAATCTATGAAATGGGCCCTGTTTTCTGGATCCTCTTTCTGATCCCTTGATTCTAGACCCAGACCTTCGGGCATTGGCCAAGGACCTTTCATGGAACCCAGGTTTCAGTTCCAGCAGTCTCACACACCATTTCCCCAGAAGCCACTCACCAGGCTAATATTTACCATCCCTCATCTTCATACCTGTCTTTATACTTAAGCTTAGTTTTAGTTTGTAAATCTCATGTTATATGCCTTTCATTTCTCCGTCCTGGCTAAGATTTTATCTCTCTGATCTATTCTCAGAAGGTGTTTTTGGAAGAACAGGGATTGGGATTAGAGATTTGCTTACTGATGTCCCCATTATTCTCTAGCCAATCAAGAATGCACCCCCAGGGAAAAAATATGTTCGATGTCCCTGCAACTGTCTCCTTATCTGCAAAGTGACTTCCCAGCGGATTGCCTGCCCTCGGCCCTACTGGTGAGGAGGAATAATTTGGGGAAGGGCATTAGTGGGGAAAATTGGAAAGCCTAAGAAGGATGAATGTTTACAGAGAATGTAAAGATGAGAGAGCCTGGTGTTTACTTAGGAGAAAAAGCTAAGGGCTGCTGTGTCTCTAGAACATTATAGCTATCTTTCTTATCTCAGTAAAAAGATTAGGATAAAAGACTACTCCATCTTTAGGAAGATGGAAAGTCTCAGAGACTGGGTGAATTATCCTGAGGTAAAAGGGACATTAAAGACCTTATATTTAAGTACTGCTTTTCCCATAAGTATTCTCTGGGGTAGGGCTGGCAGTGCAGAGAAGCAGCTACTGCCAAGTCACTTCAGTCGTGTCTGATTCTGTGCAACCCCACAGACGGCAGCCCACCAGGCTCTGCCGTCCCTGGAATTCTCCAGGCAAGAATGCTGGAGTGGGTTGCCATTTCCTTCTCCAATGCAGAGAAGCAGAGGGACTTCTAATGGCAGGGAGTGGGGGATGTGAGGGAGGAGTAATGTAGGGATCCTAGGATTAAAAACTTTCTAAACATAGTCGTTTTCTCCTATACAGCAAAAGAATCATCAACCTGGGGCCTGTGCATCCAGGACCTTTGAGTCCAGAACCACAACCTGTGGGTGTCAGGGTCATCTGTGGACATTGCAAGAATACTTTTCTGGTGAGGGGAAGTATTAGGAGGCTGGGGGTAGGGAGGGGCGGGAGTGGAAATGTAGTCATGAATGTATTTCTGAGTTATGATAATGAATCCTGAAAAGGTCTGTTCTATGAGGAACCATTTCCCCACCTCCCACTGCCCCAGAGCTCTCATTGAAAATGACCCTGCTTCTACTATTAATTGGTGTCTCCCTTTTCCTTTCACCATAGTGGACAGAGTTCACAGACCGAACCTTGGCCCGTTGCCCTCACTGCAGGAAAGTGTGAGTGATTAGGGAGCAGCATCCTTGAGATGGGTAATGAATAGGGTAAAATCTACAAGGCCATTCCAAGTATCCATTTCTGTTTGCCTCCCCACAGGTCATCTATTGGGCGCAGATACCCACGAAAGAGATGTGTCTGCTGCTTCCTGCTTGGCTTACTCTTGGCAGTCACTGCCACCGGCCTTGCTGTGAGTAGACCTTGACCCAGCCCCTTTCATTCTGCAGCCTCCTCTCCTAAGGCTAAGACTGGGGAAATAGCTATCCTAAAAGGAAGTGAAACTGAGGGGGGTTTTGTTTGTCTTGTTTTAACAAACCAAGATGACCTACATTTGAAGGAGACTGATAATGTCTTCAATGTTATCAGAGTTAAAAATAGCTATCTTCTTTATGCCGAAGATAGAACAGAGAAGTGACTTAGATTCAGTTGCTATTAGGAAGTTGTCAGACATGAAGAAAAACTGACAGGTGTCTGGGATTGTTTGAGTGTCTTCCTGCCTAGCAGAAGGGAGTTGGACAACTGGGCCTTTTAAAAGGTCCCTGAAGGTGGCCACATGTGGATAGGGGACAGAAACTGAGGCTTGAGTTGCTTGTTACTGTTACTAGGTTTCCTGGAAAGTGGTAAGAGATCAACAGTAACCCCATTGTTCTCTTTATCTTCTTCAGTTTGGCACATGGAAGCATGCACGGCGATATGGAGGCATCTATGCAGCCTGGGCATTTGTCATCCTGTTGGCAGTGCTGTGTTTGGGCCGGGCTCTCTATTGGGCCTGTATGAAGGTCAGCCACCCTGTCCAGAACTTCTCCTGAGCCCCACGACGACCCACAGACTGTGCCTGGCCCCTCCCTGGTGGGGACAGTGACACTATAAAGGGAGCCGTGGTTAAAAGGCTCCCTGGGCTTCTCTAAGGGGAGCCAAGCAGCCGCCTTCCTTTTCCCTGGGGAGAGGTAGGAAGGATCCAGGCCCTCACCTAGGTTTGGACGGATAGGTAAGACCACTGCTGGCCATCTGCTTTCCTCCAACAGTTGCTGTGTTTAGGGTGAAGTAGGCGAGAAGTTGCCCCTAAACCTGGGTCCTAAAAGACAGTTCTAGCCTTGTCCTTCCTATATGCTCCCTGAGAGCCATTCCTGTCCCTTAACACATTCCAGGGCAGGGTTGGGGTGGGTAGCCCTGGAGGGTCTCCCTCCCTCTTGTGCACCATTAGGACCTTGCTGCTGCTATTGCACTTCACCAGGGGCTGGCTCTGGTCTCAGCACCCTCAGTCTCCTCTCCCCCCATTCTGTGTCCTGTGGGGGTGGGGTCAGCCGCTGCTCTGTACAGAACCACAGGAACTGATGTATATAACTATTTAATGTGGGGTATGGTCCCCTAGTCCTGTATTTCCCATAATTCCTCCTTTTCAACCTTACGCCCCAGTTGCAGTTATTTAACTGGGCTGGATAGGGTTGCTCTGTCATGGGAGAGGTTAGGGAGTCATTCTGTGCTTGTAAATAAATAAGGTCATGACTCTATTCTTTTCCAGTTGTTAATCTGTGTGTATGAAATGATGAGGGGAATTTGTAACCCCATGAAGGCATAGAATATACCACCACCAAAGCTGAAACTATGGCTCTTTATTTTCACAGGGACAGTTCAAAGGAAATATCAGTAGCTTTTAATGTAAAAAAAGAAAAAGATAAAAGCACAACCCCTACACAAACACCCTCCTTGAGAACTTACATCTGTTATTAGAAGCCTGGTTAAAGGATTCATAGCTTAGAGGGGAAATACAACGCAGATTTCTCTAGATAGCAGTTATTAAAGAAGTCTGGGGGTAAGAATTTTAAAGCTAGCTTGGTGGGCTTATTTCCTAGGCTCAACATGATTTGGAAGAGGTGTCACAGAGCTAGGTATAGGGTAATGGGACAGTGGTCACTGCCCAGAGCCTTGGAACGGATTTTACTGTCACACAATGCAGGCAACAGAGACTGAGATAACAAAAAATAATCAAGGCGCCAACCAACATTTTTGGATCGCGCATTCATCATATAGGTCCAAAAGGTGTAGGCATAGGCGGTGTTGGGGTAGAGGTGCCGGAAACTGTCAGTGAGTGGCACAGCCTGCAGCAATTCCCCGAAGCCCTGCCGCTCTTGTGGAGTGAAGCCAGCATTCTTTTTATTTCCCTTTGGGTTGCGAAGGTCAATTTCTTCATGAGCCACGTTGAGGTCCCCACATAGCACAAGGGGCTTGCGGGATGCCAGACCCTTCAGGAATTTGCGAAAGGCTTCATCCCAGCGCTGGCGATACTCCAGGCGCACCAGACCTCGGCCTGCATTAGGCACATAGGCTGTAACCAGCACAAATGCATCATATTCAGCCACAATCACTCGGCCTTCCTGATCATGTTCTTCCTCACCTACAGAAATGATGGAACAATTAGCAAAAAGAAGTTTCAAGAAAAGGGAAAGGAGAGAACAAAAGAATTAAGAACTGGGGCTGGACTGGGATACCAGCAATTAATTTGGAAGCCCTGGGCTTTAGAAAATCAATAGAGTCTCACCAATGCCATAAGAGACTTTGAGTGGGCACTGGCGGGAGAGGAGGCCCACACCACTGTACCCTTCCTTGTCTGAAGGAGCTGACCAGTACTGATGGGATAATCCAGACAGTTCTTGAAGTTCAACTGGTAGTTTGTTCTCTGAACATTTGGTCTCTTGGAGGCACAGGATGTCTGGGGCTTCTTCCTTTACCCACTGTAAGTGAAATTAAATGTAGAAAAAGTATTATCAATTCAGCAGCCATTTACTGAAAAATCTATGTGCTAAGTACTAGAAATATACAGATGAGACACAGTCTCTGCAGAAATAACGTCTCGCGGCATAATATTAAAACTTATAAATGAAGGGCAGAGAGGCAAGAAGGGTGTTACATGCAACACAGAAATTCTTGTTTTTTTCCCCACAGGCCAGCTAAAGTTTTTAAGCAGTAGTTATTTAAATGTTGGCTATGCAGGGAATAAAATGGAGCAAGTCCAGTAAGGAGGTTTTCTCAACATGCCAGGGAAGAGATGAGGACATTATAAATAAGAAAATGGCAATGGAACTGTTGAAATGGCATTTGAAAAACAAGGTTTTTTTGGTGAAAACCTAGTACATTTCCCACAAGAAAACTACCGTGCTAGGGACTAAGATGGAAGATGATTAAACCCCAAGCTCAGCCTCTGCACCCCCTAATTCCACTCACATCTAAACCTTTCTTCTTAATCCAGGCTCGAAGCCCATCCACATTCCACGAGCAGATCTTGAGTGTGGCTGATTTGCCACTGGGTGAGGTTTTCTGATCTGGGGGGTCTTCATACAGAACTGCGCCCTCTCCTACGGCCTCTTTTTCGTTCTTTTTCGCTCCTGCCTTACTCTTCTTCGCCTCTGGCTCTATAAAATAAGTAATACATAATGGGATATAAGTTGGCGGCATCCAACTTTGATCCAGAGTTAACTACAGACCCACTAAGAGCCTGCAGCTGCCGCGACTTCTTCACAAATGAGAACACTGTCGGTGTCGGTCTGAACTTGACGTTCAACGGTCCGTACTTCCGTTCAGCTAGGTAATTCTAGACATCCCCATCGCTGCCTCTAGGGAGAGGGGCCCATTCCATTCTCTTACCAGCCTTGGGCTCTTCCGCGTCTTCGACCACCGCTCCCTTTTTCCCACGTTTCGGCATCACTGTAATGTACGCCCTTCTGCACCAGTTCCACTTGGCCCACTGAAGCAGTATTTTGATCGCGTTGCCTACAAGTGCAAAAAAGTCGTGAAACCAGCTAAAGCAGAAGACTCCACCCTCAACGCCCACGTACCAAGTACCGCCTTTCAAACTGTATTATCTCTGAATTCTTTCCCCGCCTCCGTGCACCATCAGCCTTTCAGCCCCTCACCCCCAAGACTAGATCATTTTCATCGTGTCTTATATACATCTCGCGAGATCCGCCCTCCGGCCGAGGGACTTAATTGAGAGTCCCGACCTGGCCTTGCGGATCAGACGTCCAGAGAAGCGGCTAAGATAGGCAAAACAACACAAACCCTTTAGCTGACCTGCTTCGGTCCCTGTCTGGCTCCTCCTTAACCCAGCACAAAGAATGGAGCACGCTGTGCCCCACGTGGGTAACTGGAGTGGTCACGTGATCTGAGATGCTCTTCCAGGGGCGGAGGAATACGGGTCATTGGTCTAGTTGTACCACGTGACTGAAAGCTTCCCGCCCTTCTCCTGGACTCGGGGACACTGAAGGCCCCACCCTCCATTCTTGGACTGTTTATCAATATGCCAGATTCACAACTCTTTCTGCCACCCTGACTAGAGATCCCAAAGCTGTGTAAGAGAGAATGAAATCAATGGAAAAGGCTGGGCTGGACCATGGGAGAGAAGCAGAGGAACGGATAGGAATTTAAGGAGTAGACGCAGGATCAGCGTTCCCGGCAGTTAAGAGGACAGGCCCTCGAAGGGGTCTTGATGGGTCGTCGTAACGACAGAGGTTGGGGCTGGCGCTGGCGCGCTATCTACGGAGATTTTTTGGTAGCTGTTGTTTTGGTTGGCGCGGCTGCTTAGCAGCCACTGGTTCATCCTTCTACTCTGCGACGCGGAGTTTGCGTCCCAGCGCGGACTGGTGAGGGCTCCGTGGCTCCAGTGCTAGCTCCGAGCCATGCCGGCGGTGCTGGGTTTTGAAGGCAGCGCCAACAAGATTGGCGTGGGAGTGGTACGGGATGGCAAAGTACTGGCGAACCCGAGGCGGACTTACGTCACGCCTCCCGGCACAGGTGAGGACTTGGGGATTTATAACTCGTGGCGCACTTTCCGCACAGCATCCCCTGCCATCTTCCTAAACGTTGGTGAAGAGTACGCGTTGTACCTCGTAAGTTTTGATCCTAGTCTCTGAGATTATGTGACGGTAAAAGGGCTTCCCAGGTGGCTCAGTGGTAAAGAATCTGCCTGCAGTGCAGGAGACTTGAGTTCGATCCGTGGGTCGAGAAGATCCTCTGGGGAACGGAATGGCAACCCACTCCAGTATTCTTGCCTGGAGAATCCTATGGATGGAGGAGCCTAGTGGACTACAGTCCATGGGGTCGCAAAGAGTTGGACAAGACTAAGCACGCATTATCCCGAGGCTGATGGGTAGAAGAGTTACAGGCACTTGGAACTGGATCTTCTGAGTTTGTTCAGCCTATACTGGGCACCTTTTGTGTACTAATTATCGGCTGCTCTTGCAATATTCGGTAGTTGTTTTTGGACTTCTGTACCTTGTTCTTAAAATGGGAATGATAATACCTGCATCATTTGGTCTTGAGGGTTAAAGTACCGGACACATTGACCACTTTCCGTAAATGTTATTTCTAAGTTAGATTGTGTCTTTCCTACCTTTCCCCCAAACACCTCCTTCCATAGGAGAGGGCAGCAGTCTTGTATATACCTGAAAAGCAACCCTGAAGAGGTGATGTTGTAACAAGTTACTCGTTAGAAATGGATGTATATGTTTAGCACTCAAGCTTCTTGGCATTTGGCACCAAGAATATGAAGATAAAATAGGCAGTGCCTTGAGATGCTCATGGTTAAGCTGGGAAAAGTACCGATTCACTATAATGCTGTAACTGTTACATGTTACATATAGTGTGTTAACTTCAATGATGTTATTATGCACAGTGTTTGTAGAGTCACAGGGCATCACCAGAAAGTATGAGGTATGTATCATTGAGTCCTGAGTAGGAGTTGGGTATGTAGAAGGACATTTCTGAGAGCTGTTTAGCTTAGCTGAGCAGGCTGAAAAGACTATTATCTGAAGACAGGATGTTGGAGGAAAAGGGAAGGGACTCTTCCTATCCTACTCAAATATCTATTTTGACTTCTAGGTGCCTTTCTATAGGAAAATTCTTAGGATCTCTGACTTGTGTCCATCTCCTAGGATTCCTTCCAGGTGATACTGCCAGGCACCACCGAGCTGTTATCCTGGACCTGCTGCAGGAGGCACTGACAGAGGCTGGATTAACCTCTGAGGATTTTGACTGCATCGCATACACCAAAGGTACAGCTGGAAGAGTGGGCAACAGTGGAGGAATACACCTGGAACCCAGCTAGGTCAAAAGAGCCTGCAGCTCACCTCTGATGCCACCACTACCTCCGCTGTACCTTCACATCCCCCGCTTCCCTCACCTCTGCTTTTCCCAATCTCTGTAGGATTCTAAGCCCCATTCTGTCCCCATAGGTCCTGGCATGGGTGCCCCACTGGTTTCTGTGGCTGTTGTGGCCCGTACTGTGGCCCAGTTGTGGAATAAGCCATTGCTGGGTGTTAACCACTGTATAGGTCACATTGAGATGGGCCGCCTCATCACTGGAGCCACCAACCCAACTGTGCTGTATGTCAGTGGAGGAAATACACAGGTATTTAGAATTCTTCATCATTCTTTCTGTTTTTTCCTCCTCAGAGATTTTTGGGTATTTTTAATGACTGAAACAAAACAGATCTAAAACCACAGCTTCTGGAAGAACCATTTATTCTTGCTGGTTTTGTATCTTTCCTCAAACTAGATCTTGACCTCTTGTTGGGCCACACATTTAAGAGCAGGGTCTCCGAAGACATTCTTGTTGGCAACAGTTTTTTCTAAGGGGATACCTACAGAGTACCTTGTGGGCTTGAAGTGATATACTTCAAGTTATAAACTTTCACAAAAGACTGACCTCCTGGCGATTTTCTTCTTGCCTGTGGTAGCTTCACTTTGTACCTTGCTGCTAGCAAGGTACTAAGATCATAGGTGTTCTTCATGATGACTGGCCAGGGGCATCACCACCTTCCCAGGTTTCATGAACTTGCCCGTTTTGACAGAAGCCATTCAGGACTACAGCAGAAGAGCTCCACCATTCCTTCTTAATTTCTGAGGCACTGCACTAGCAGCTTTCACTTTCTGCCTGAGTGGTAGGAAAACTGGGCTCATCAGAAGCTAAAATGTGATAGACGAGAACACTGGATGACCTCTATATATGGCTATAGAGATGAGGAATTTCCAACTTAGAGAAGGAAAGAATAGTAAGGATTGAAGTATTCAGAATAAGGACTTTTATTTTCATTATTTTGAAGCTTATTTTTCCTATGAATGTTAGCAATTAAAACTAAGGGACACTTGGCAGTCCAGTGGTTAAGACTCTGCTTTCAATGCCAGAGGCACGGGTTCTATCCCTTGTCGGGGGACTAAGATCTCACACGTCTCAAGGTACAGCCAGAAAAATGTTTTTTAAAAAAGAAAAAACTAAGGGGTACTATCTCATTTGTTTCTTTACAACATTTGTTTTGTTTTAGTTACTGGTGGTAAATATATAGGTTTTTTTTTTTTTTAAAGAGTGAAAACTTAAGTAATTTAAAAAACATTTTATGAATGGTGGAAGATGTTTTAAATTTATAGATGAAGCCAGAGTTGTTCGGGATACCTTACAAGATCTTTTTAAGTGGAGATTGGAGACCTCTAGCCTTCCTTTTCCACCTAACACCTGATGGGATTATTGTCCAGACTGATTCCTCTCTCCATTTTATGAAAGAATTATATTCTAAAAGTTCATTTTGTGAAATAGTTATTAAAGTTGAAGCACACATTCCTATGAAAATAACGTGGGAACTTTAATGGGTAGAGAACAAGTAATTGGTTGAGGCCTGAAGGATATTTATTATACAAGGTTAGGAACTTGGGGTGTGGAAAGTACCAGTGGAAGCTTACAAGATTTACTTGAAATGAGCAGTGATGGAATTTTCTCTTTTTCTCTTTTCCTTTGAAGCCTGCTTAGGTGTGAAAAATAAGATGATTGACTAGGGAAGAGTGGATGACCGAAGTAGAAAGGCAAAATTTTTCTTTATGTTTTTGTCTCCAGCCTTTTATCAGTAGAGTAAGGGCTACATCAGGATGGAAGAAAATACCTAGCAGCACCAGAAAGGGAAGGGGACTTAACGATCCTTTGGGAATACTGTCAGAAGTCTGGAGCTTATGTGTCAACGGGTGATAAATACTCTCTGTGCTAGAAGTTGGTCACATATGAAGAGTGGACAGAAGTTGGTTGCCAGTGCTGAGCTGGATGAGCAATTAGTCTGACCCAATATGGGATTTTTGGGTTTTGTTTTTGTTGTTGCTGCACCGAGTGGCTTGTGGGATCATAGTTCCCCTGCCAGGGACTGAATGCATCTGCAACCAGGAACAGGGAATTCCCTGGGATTTTTTAGTTTTTTTTTTCTTTTTTAACTCTACCTTAGTGGTTTCCACATACTACCACCCTCGTAGGATAATCTTGAAGAATTCTGGTTCCCTGCCTCCAAGAAGGAAAGCTTTCCTTAGCCCACACTGTCTTGATTGCTTTTAGAGGGGTATCAGCAACCTCCAAGCTAGAAAAATGTATCTTTAGACTAGGAATCTACTCTGGGAATCCTTAGGGTGTATATAGACTTCTCAGATAAGCATTGTTTAAAAGTACCTGTTGAGGGTTTGGGAAAGGACTTTATTTCCATTGCTTATTGACATTCTAGTGACCATGTTGATCTTCTGCTATGTTCTTCCCCAAGCCAAATGCTCCTCTTTACAGACTTGAGGTTTCATGGACATCCTCATCACCCTTAGGTGATTGCGTATTCAGAACATCGTTACCGCATCTTTGGGGAAACCATCGATATTGCTGTGGGTAATTGTCTGGATCGTTTTGCTCGAGTGCTGAAGGTAAGCCATTGAGGCTACAGAGAATATAAGTTGTGAATGAATTTTGGGAGAGCCATGGAAAAGGAAAGGGAAGATAAATTAGCTTCTTTTGCTTCATAGATGCTTGACTTCATCCTGTTTTTCCTTCTGCTAGATTTCCAATGACCCAAGTCCAGGCTACAACATTGAGCAAATGGCAAAGCGGTAAGGGGAATAAGGCGGAAGGAGGCTGACTGGTGGGGTGCCAGGGATTTCCCTGTGTATGTATTAATGAGCTTTGGGAGGGCTTTGGAGGGTGAGCAGCCAGCAGACTACAGGCTTAGTGCCTCATATACTCACTCCCACATAGAGGCAAGAAGCTAGTTGAGCTGCCATACACTGTAAAGGGGATGGACGTCTCATTCTCTGGGATCTTGTCTTTTATTGAGGTGAGTGTGGGGGAGGTGAGATGGGCACTTTCATGCTTTTTAGTGAAGTGTGCAAGTTTCGCTTAGTGTAGTATTTTCTGCATATAGCATATTACTGGTCTATGTTAGATACTGAATAAATTCATCTAGCAAATAACTTACTTGAACATCTTTTGTGTACCAAGTGCTGTTCAAGGCAATAGTGATACAAGATGGAGCAAAACAAAAATCTGCCTACTTGGAGCTTGCATTTCATGGGACATGGGAGGAGGGAGGGAAACAGAAAAAGAAACAGACAAAGAAATGGGAAAAAAAATAAAAAGGGTCAGACGGGGACAAGTCTGGAGAAAAATTAACCAGGGTAGGGGACAGAAGGTGAGAGAGCAAGCATTCATGATTATTGAATCTTGAAAGAAGGCTGCTGGTTTTATATATATATATAGCTCAGTGCCAGTGAAGAGCAATATATACTGGTAAGGGTGAATTGTGCTAAAACGCAGTGATCCTCCAAGCGTGCTAGTTTTTTGCTCACATGTCATCCCAGATGACAGTTCACTGTTTATCTGTTTGCCCCTGTAACGACAGGATGTAGCCCAGCGGATGCTGGCCACTGGAGAGTGTACTCCCGAGGATCTGTGTTTCTCCCTGCAGGTAATGAAGTGAAGAACTGGGATAGAAAGGTGGAGCTGGGGGAGCTTTTGTATAGTAGAACTAAACTGGGATCGCCTCTGATGTTTTCAACTTGTCTGCCGCCCACAGGAAACTGTGTTTGCAATGCTGGTCGAGATCACAGAGCGGGCCATGGCACATTGTGGCTCTGAGGAGGCCCTCATTGTGGGAGGTGTAGGGTGTATGTATCATTGAACTGTGCTTCTCTTTCGTATTTTGGGGCATGTGCATCTTGCTCCTGATACTCTAAATCTCTAAGGGTTTGGGGAGCTTACTTATTTTGTTTCTGTCCTGTGCTTCCCATTCCTTGCACCTACTTCATTTCCCGAAGTCAGTGTACATGAGGTGTATAGCTAGACTGGAGAAATGACTAAAGATGAGCTAATCGTACCCCTGCCTCTGTAGGTAATGTGAGGTTACAGGAAATGATGGAGACCATGTGCCAGGAACGTGGAGCCCGGCTTTTTGCCACAGATGAAAGGTAAAGGCCCGCCCACCCACACACACTTTTTTTCCCCCAGTTGCTGTGATTTTCTGTCCTTAGATCATGAATTTCGTACCTCTTTTCTTTCCCAGGTTCTGCATCGACAATGGAGCCATGATAGCCCAGGCCGGGTGGGAGATGTTTCAGGCTGGACACAGGACCCCTCTCAGTGAATCTGGGATCACACAGAGGTAAGTGGCCACTGGGAGGAGGCAGACAGCATTATATGGGAGGTAGGCAAAAATCATCAGCAGGAAGAGGACCCAGAATGGTGAGGGCAGAGAAGAATGGAATAAGGGATGACTGTTCTCCAAGTTTTTCCTTTTTTTTAAAACAGGTATCGGACAGATGAAGTAGAAGTGACCTGGAGGGACTAACAAAGTTAACAGGATTGGAGTATTTCATGCCCTGAGTGGAGCCCAAGGGACCCGAGGCCTTAACCTCTAAGCTGACGAGGCTGTGGGCTCCCTTGTCTCATCGTTCGAACCTCAAGAATTGACTCAGCATTAAAATATTTTTGGTTTTATATGGCAATTGACTTGTGTTCAGGAAGAAAACATATTTGGCAATGGTTAAATCCTTTTGATGGGTCGATAGATAAGGAGGGCAGGGGTCAGAGCAGCACCCTGGCGGACTGCAGGTAGCCTTGGGAGCTGCTGCTCTAGAGCTAAAATTGAGGAGAATCTCTGAGATATTCTAACCTTCCCTTAGGAATGCTATTATCATTGGTTCTGTTTTAGCATCAGGTCTTGTGTTAATTGCTTTACATTGATCACCTTGTTTAAATTTTTTGAAGTGTAGGTACTCAGGATTTCCCTGAAAACAGCCTGAAGCCAGATATAATTTCATACTAATTGATAACTCAGAAGTAAAACTGTCCCTCCTCCATACACTTAAGCCTACAGACATTTTCATTGGCAGACCAGAGGGAAGCCCTGGGTACATGTCCTTCTGCCACAACCACCAGAATTAACCTCATCATGCACTTTTATTTATACCAGTCACGATAAGAAGTGGTGACTATTAGGTCACCTCTCATCTTTTAAACTCTAATAACCATTACTCTCCACTCCCTTTTTAGCCCCTGTCTACCCGCTTCTTTTAACTCCTGAAATTCTTTTTGTGATCTCTGACATTAACAGCCAGTCATTAGGAAGAATCCCAGGTATCCTCAACATGCTCCCTGAATGTTCCCTTTACATGGCTGTGCTCGGAGCCCTGGTTTCTCCGGAGGACTCTGCTTCTCCTACCACCTGTAGTGGTGGTGGTTTCTCTCATACCCATTGTAGCACTGGGCTGGCCTGGAGGCAGTGTGGGAGTCCTCATTTTTCTCATACTATTTTTAGACTACTCTCATCTCTAACATACCTCCGCTTTAAAACAATATCTGTCACAAATCTTGGTGCTTTAAATATCCATATAGATAATCTTTCTAACATTCTGGTCTCAGTTCTTTGCACCTCCACTGATCCTGTCCTCTAGTCCCACTTCAGGCTATGGTCATATTGCAGCCCTGCTGCTACTCCATATCTCAAATCTCAAACATCCCACTCTCCCACTATTACTTCCTATTTTTCCAATTGACTCCACGTGTCTTCACTTCCCTTCTCCAACTAAGTGCCAGTCATGAGCACCTCATTGCAAGTAACTAATCTCTTTTGCTTCTCTTGCTTTTGTCACACTCAACTCTTCACTGACTTTATGCCTACACCCATGCAGCTGAAAGGGCTAGGGAAAAACAGCCAAGCTAACTTTAAATTAATTACCATGAAACTTCAGTGGGTCCTTTATGCTGGAAGTAGTATTTGCTAGTCTTTTCACTTGCCCTCCTTTTTTTGGGGTGGGGGGAGCTCTGCATTGCTTGTGTCATCAAAGTTGGGAGTTCATCACTTAGCTGTTTTCTGATCCCTGTTTTGTTTCTTCTGACCCCTCAGATCTTCAACATCCCCTTCATTCTCACTTTTTGGTAGAAAATAAAGACAGTGAAAATGTTCACAGGCTCCTACCACTACACTTATCATAACTTGCAGCATTTATGCCCATATGCTCTGCTTTCTCTCCTGTTACTGTATCTTTTTTTTCCTCTTATTTTTTTTTTTTTGTTTATATTTTTCTCTGCTGTTACTGCATACCAGTGGTTCTCAGCTGGGACTGAGCTTGCTCCCAGAGGGCATTCGGTTGTCACAACCGAGAGGTGGTGCTACTGGGTAGAGGCCAAGGATGCTGCAATATAGCTTATGGTACACAGAACAGCTCCCCACAACAGAATTATCGGGTTAAATGTCGTTAGTATCAAGGTTGAAAAGTGTTGCTCTAAACAAACTGCCCAGGCTCCCCTCCAAATCCTTGGACAGCTGGTCCCATGCTCTTTCAAGGACGTCGCTCATCTCCTTTCCTGTAGGGTCAGCATTTTCCTTTCTCGTGGAGCATCCTATCAGCATGCAAATACACTGTCATTTTTCTCATCTTAACAGAGACCCAAGTCTCTCTTGACCCCATTTCCCCTTCCAATTGCTTCCAATTTTCCTGTTCAGTTATTTAAAAACATAGTTATTTTTTAAATTCAAGTATAGTTGATTTACAGTATTATGTTTCAGAGGTATAACATAGTGATTCAGTATTTTTTATAGATTATACTCCTAGATTATACTCCACTTAAAGTTATTGTAAAATACTATATTCCCTGTGGTGTACTAATATATCTTTATGATTTATTCATTCTGCCCTTATTTTAGAGCAGAACATTTTAAAAGAGCCATCTGCCCATCCTCTCTACCAGTTTCCTATTAAGTTGACTGCACCCAACTGTTACCATGATCACAAGGACGTGCGTGAACCAAGATCTAATGGCATCTTCTGCTTCATCTTATGTAGGCTGGCAGCAGGATTTGGCACACCCTCTTAGAAACATTGTCTCTACTTAGCTTTAGGACATAATCTCTGGTTTGCCTCAGTTGCGTTTGCTGGTTTCTCCTAATCTCCATAGTTCTTGAGAGTTCAGTCCTTGGACTATTTCCTATTTACATACATACTTTTGAGTGATGTCATCCAGTCTTACACATTAAAGCCATTTCATTGTGGTGGGCTCCCCGTTTTTTAGCTCCAATCTGGACTTACATCCCAAATATCTAGTTGCCTTCAGCATTTCTACTTGGATGCTTAATAGGCATCTCAAATTTAACATATACAAAATTGAACTTGTCCCAGATTACTGCTGCAGTCTTTGCTATTTCAGTCAATGACAACTCCATCCTTATAGTTTTCATGTCAAAGTATTGGTATTACCTTTGATACCTCTTTCATCTCCTCCAATTCATCAGATCACATTGACTACCTTCACAATATATCCAGAATCCACTGCTGGACTTCACTGCTGCCATCCTAGCCCAAGCCAGAATTACCTATCTCCAAGATGATTGCAGGAGCTGGTCTACGTGTTTACACCATTTCCTTCTTGCAGTTAGTTCTCAACAGCAGTCATTCAGAGTGAATAGTGTTTTCATGTGGAAGCCAGATTATGTCACTCTTCTCAAAATCCTCCCATGTTTTCCTACCTCAGAATAAAATCCAGAGTCCTTTCAAGGCCTGTGAGAACCTCCATGACCTGCCGCACCCTTCCCCCTTACTGCTGTGACCTTACTACCTGCTACTTATCTTGTCATTCATTCTGCTGTGGTCACATCTGTCTTTTCGTCCTTAAACACGGCAGATCTGCCACCCCTAAGGTCTTGTTGCCCCCTCTGCCTGGGATTTTCTTCCCAGAGGTCTTGGCTCAGCTTAGTTTAGTGAGGTCTTCCTGACAACCCTACTTAAAATTGTACTGCTCTTGTGCTTTCTAGCCCACTCTCCTGTTTTATTATATTCTTTGTCCTCTTGTTGGAATATAAACTCCCTGAGAGGAGGAGTATCTTGTTTTATTCATTAACATATCATCTCACAGTACTTAAAATAGGGTCTGGCACATAAGTGGACATTGAATTAGTATTTGCTGGTTGGCTCAGAGGTTAAAGCGTCTGCCTGCAATGAGGGAGACCTGGGTTCGATCCCTGGGTCGGGAAGATCCCCTGGAGAAGGAAATGGCAACCCACTCCAGTATTCTTGCCTAGAGAATTCCATGGACAGAGGAGACTGGCAGGCTACAGTCCATGGGGTCACAAGGAGTTGGACATGACTGAGCAACTTCACTTTCACTTTCACTTTAGTAGCTCCATGGTGGGCTTCCCAGGTGGTACTAGCGGTAAAGAACCCGCCTGCCAATGCAGGAGACGTAAGAGACAGGTTCAATCATGGCAGTCCACTCCAGTATTCTTGCCTAGAGAATCTCGTGGACAGAGGAGCCTGGCAGGCTACAGTCCATGGGGTTGCAAAGAGTCGGACATGACTGAAGCAACTTAGCATGCACTCACGTGTAGCTCAGTGGTGGAGCATTTGACTACAATTAGTATTTGCTGAATAAATGAATAAATCTGTGGGAAACTAAACCAAAGAAATAAAGGACTATAAAACATGACTTGGGCAAAAAGATTTTAAAGATTGAGATCACATGGGCTTGGGACAGTTTCTGACTACTTATTAAGTAGGAAATGATAAATATTCTTTTGTTTTTTACAAAGGGTAGACATAAATGGGTTAAAATGTGTTTAGGGGTAGAGGTCTATAGTGGAAACTTTGCGATGGAAGATAGAAGATAAATTCTTGTCTGTATTTGAGGACAGGAATGATCTGTTTCTCTAGGCTCAGGGAGTTTTGAAGTATGTTTTTACACATTAGCCTCAGGTATTTATTTGTAACTTTTTATTAATATCATGAGATAGAATGGATTTTGGAGAAGGGCTATCTTTGGCACTGTAGCTGCAGTTAGTGTTGTTCAGTGGAGTGGGGGCGGGGGATTCTCTCCTTAGGAAACTTTAAAGTGAAAGTGAAGTCGCTCAGTCGTGTCCGACTCTTTGTAACCCTATGGACTGTAGCCTACCAGGCTCCTCCATCCATGGGATTTTCCAGGCAAGAATACTGATGTGGGTTGCCATTTCCTTCTCCAGGGGATCTTCCCAACTCAGGGGTCAAACCCGGGTCTCTCGCATTGTAGGCAGATGCTTTACCGTCTAAGCCACCAGGAAACTTTGGGCTGTTGTAAAACCCTTGTATGGGCCTCCCCTCATGGTCCAGTGGTTAAGAATCTACCTGCCTATGCAGGGACATGGGATCAATCCCTGGTCTGGGAAGATCCCACATGCCATGGGGCAACTTAGGCCCATGTTCCACAGCTACTGAAGCTCACATGCTCTAGAGCTCATGATTGATAACAAGAGAAGCCACTGCAACCAGAAGGCTGTGCACTGCAACTAGAGAGTAGCTCCCACTTGCAGCAACTAGAGAA